GTAGATCCGAAGGCAGAAGCCAGGAGTTTCTTCTCGTTCTCCCACATGGGTACAGGGTCGCAAGGTATTTGGGCCATTCTCAGCTGCTTTAGGAACTAGCGCAGCCAGGACATAATAAGATGCTTGCACTTGCAGGGGGAGGATTAACCAATTGTGCCATTGTGCCAGGTCTTGCCGAAAACTTTTGTTTTCATATTTCCTTTATAAATCGTTGAGGCAGTTTATCAAATGTCTTTTTCTGAATGAAGATGGCTGTGACTTTCTGTCCTATACTCTTCCAGATAAAACCCTTTTGGTCTTGATATACTTTTTAAAATGCATTTAGATCATTTGACAAGTGCTTGCTTTTGGGTTTTGTATCTATGTCTAAAAATGAACATATGACTTTTGCTCTGGTAATGTCTTTATGGGGTTTGGGGGGGTCACAGTCACTCTGCTGGGCGCTGGTGCTGTGACTCAGAAGGTGAAGCTACTGCTTGTGAGGCCAGCATGCCATATCAGAGCCCTGATCCCAGTCCTGGCTGCTCCACTTCCAGTACAGCTCCCTGTTCATGCAGCTGGAAATGGTGAATTTCAGACTTGGGAGACCAGATGGAGTTTCACTTGGTTCTTTGTAAAATTGTTTTGTTTTTTTCTATGACAACTGTACCCACCTGTTACTGGTTTTCTTCCTTGAATTATTTCAACATATTGACAATAGTTCTTTTAAAGTTCTTTTGTAATAGTTATAGTAATTATCCTGCTGAGTTTACTTGTCCTATCAATTCCTTTATGTCTTGGACAGGGTTGCATTTTCCTGATTCTTCTCATACCTTTTTTTTTTTAAAGATTTATTTTTATGATTTTTTTATTGGAAAGGCAGATATACAGAGAGGAGAGACAGAGAGGAAGATCTTCCATCCGATGATTCACTCCCCAAGTGAGCGCAACGGGCCGATACTATGCCAATCCGAAGCCAGGAGCCTCTTCCGGGTCTCCCACGCGGGTGCAGGGTCCCAAAGCTTTGGGCCGTCCTCGACTGCTTTCCCAGGCCACAAGCAGGGAGCTGGAAGGGAAGCGGGGCTGCCAGGATTAGAACCGGCGCCCATATGGGATCCCGGGCGTGCAAGGCGAGGACCTTTAACCACTTGCACCACCGCGCCGGGCCCTCTTCTCATACCTTTATATATTCATATATATATATATATATATATATATACACATATATGATGTCATGATTGGTTCTATTATTAATTTAAATGCTATTGAATTTTAGTTTGTCTGGTAGTTAAGTTACTGTTGTAGCCACTTATCTTCATTAGCATTTATTTTAGATTTTACCAGGACAGGTTTGTTTTGGTTTTGCCCTTGGTTCTAAAGCGTGTGCTCACCTGAGGATCTGGTCCTTCTAAAGTGTCTCCTTTCTGGAATTTCCACTAAACTCTAGATCATCTCCCCTGGCTGGACCCGCTCTCCAATGTTCCCCATCACCGCATGAATTCCGTTGTGTCTTTGCGGGTGCCCGGTCCCTATCTGCTCCCCAGCTCCTATCAGCTGCTGTCTGCTGAGTGCCAAGCAGTCCGTCACTGAACAAGGGGCTTGGTGGCTGTTGCTGGGGGAAGAGAGTCGCCGTTGATGTTCACGTATTAATCTTGTCTGGCAGCCTTTGTGGACTCAGGCTTTGGTTGAGTCCTCTGGTCCTCCAAAGGAGCCCAACCTCTAAGTAATGTACTTAAAAATATTATTTATTTAAGTCAACACAGCCCCAAGGGGAACCCACAGAGACCTCAGGGCCCATGTTTTGTGTGAGTCATTTCTCTCCAGGATCCTGCTTTGAACATTCCACCTGCCTCAGCAGCCTCAAGCCCTTGCCAGTTCAGTAAGATTACTGTGTCCTGGCTTCTATCCTGCCCACTTGCTGAGTCCAGATGGGAAAGAGCCTCAGAGCTTACTCAGTGCCATTCCCTTACTTCCAAGACTGCAGCCCCATGACACAGTTCAAAGCCTGACAACACTTACTTCACCCAATTATTTCATCATTATTATTATTATTACGATTTGTTTTTATTGGAAAGGCAGATTTGCAGAGAAAAGAAGAAACAGAGAAAAACATCCCCCATTACTGGTCCACTCCCCAAGTGATTGCAACAGCCAGAGCTGAATCAATTCAAAGCCAGGAGCCAAGAGCCTGCTTCAGGTCTCCCACACAGGTACAGGGTTCCAAGGCTTTGGGCCATCCTCTGCTGTTTTCCCAGGCCACAAGCAGGGAGCTGGATGGGAAGTGGAGCAGCCAGGACATGGACTGGCGCCTCCATGGCATCCCAGCACCTGCAAGGGGAGGATGGGACAACTGAGCCATCACATCAGACCCTTGCCTTCACCTAATTCTTCCAGGTTCAGAGTTGCTTGCAGCGGAAAGGTACACCTGACTTTATCTTAGGCTTGGAAGCACAAGTCTAATTGGTATGTTTCCTTTTTGTTTGTCTAATTTGCATACAATGTAATACACAGATGTTTACTGTATGGTTCGGTGAGCTTTGACGATGATGGTATGCACCCTTAGTACCACCACCTCCTGTGTACTGCTTTCTGTCACAGTGCATTAGCCCTGGCTGCTCTAGAACTTGGCATAAATGGAATCAGGCATATCAACTCGAGAACATCCAACATTTTGATTAGCATACTTTTGAAAGGTGCCTGTGTGGTCACATATCCAATAGTTCATCCTTTTATTTCTAATGGAGGACAGTATTTCACTATATAAATGTGCCACAGATTGCGTTTCTGTTGAATTGGGCGGTCTGCAGTCTGGGATTGTTATGGTAAAGCTGCTGCAACTACTCTCGTAAGAACATGTTTGTGGTCGTCTTTTCTAGACACAACGCCCTGGGGTTTGGTTTATGTTGTGAACTGCCCAGGCAGTTCTGAGGAGTGTCTGTACCACTGCACGTGTTCCCCAGCAATACACGAGAATGTCTGTTCCTGCACATCCTTATGACATTTGGTGCTCAGTGATGGGTGCTTTTTATCTTGCATGGGGATCACTTGCATTCTCTGATGATTACCGTGCTTATTTCCTGTGCTTAGTAATCTTTTGCATGTGTGGTGAGAGAAATGTCTTGTCTTTTGCCTGTTAAAAAAAAAAAGTTTTAGCCCTATTGAGTTGTAGAAGTTCATCCTAAGTTCTGGAAATGAGTCTTTGTGTAAGGATTCAGGATAGGTTACCTCAGCCTGTCCTTTGCCTGTTGAATTTCTTAATGACTTGGCCAGTTTTTCTTTGTTTTCTTTTTCATTGACTTCTTGTATGCCTTTTTTTCTAGTTACTTAGACTTCATTTACCCTGCTTTTTTCTAGATTCTGAGAATCCCAGATCTGGAAACTTTGTCATTATTAGTTTCACTCCTATTTTATTTTTTAATAAAGAAATTTGAGGCTATAAATTTTTCTCTTTTCACAGTTTTACCTGCATCCAACAAATTGTTGATGTGTTCTCATTATTGACCAATTAAAAATATTGTAAAATTTAACTTTGAAATTTCTCTTCTGTGACTGGTGGGTTCATTAGAAGCAATACTGTCTCATGTTCAAGTATCTGAGATTTTTCTAAACACCTTGCTTTGAATTTTAACGCCATTATGATCAAATTCAGTTTTATGTTCAAGTGTCTGGGTCGCTTTGGTAACCACAGGAGGTGTTATTGAAAAGAACGTGGATTCTATTTTTATCAATTAATAGAATATCTTACCCTACAGTCATCTAGCCTATGTATTCAGGGAATCGTTTCTGGACAGAGCATCTAGTTAAGTATGTCTGTCTAAGGTCAGCCTCATAATTGAAGGTGGCACCTTATTGTTACCACCTGCCCACGCTGCTGTGGTGTCCGTGTGACCCACTGCATGGCTGTCCCTTGGATGCATCCTCCATGCCTCACATGTCTGAGTTACCTCTAAGGTCCTGCCCTGAAAGTACTGTTGCTGGCACCATCCCTAGAGGCCTCTTTGCTTGGGCAGAATCTACATGGAATGTTTACCCGGAGGGGAATCTCTGGCAGACTTAGCCTACTTCATTTGACTAAGGATGGCCAAATTGAACAGTGTCCACAGAATGATGGGAATGTTCCAGAAGGCTGGGGGCGGGAACAGGGGGAGTGCAGGGAGGAGAAGAGGAAGGGAAGAGATGCTGGAGCCGCCTGCTTGACTAGGTGACAGGTGTTGGGAGCGCTGCCCAGGTGGAAAGGTAGGCCCTCGCAAGGAACAGCGACAGAGACAGAGGGAAGGCGAATGTCCTGACTGGAGGCAGGTGAGAGGTCCCGTGTGGCCCAAAAATGTCTTCCCTTGCTATGTCTTCTCAGTGACACTAACAGCGACCAAGGGTAACAATGGGGGAAGGGATTCTGGAAGCTTAAAGAGGATGTGTAATAGCTGCCTGCTGGGCAGCGTCAGTGAAGTAGGCAACATGAGTGGTGGCCGCCACTCCCTCAAGAGAGGCCCAGTGCAGTGGCCTGGCGGCTAAAGTCCTCTTCTTGAACATGCCGGGATCCCTTATGGGTGCCAGTTCTAATCCCAGCAGCTCCACTTTCCATCCAGCTCCCTGCTTGTGGCCTGGGAAAGCAGTGGAGGACAGCCCAAGGCTTTGGGACCCTGCACCCACATGGGAGACCTGGAGGAGGTTCCTGGCTTCTGGCTTTGGTTTGACACAGCACCAGCCGTTGCGCTCACTTGGGGAGTGAATCATCGGATGGAGGATCTTCCTGTCTTTCCTCCTCTCTGTATTTCCGACTTTGTAGTAAAAATAAATAAATCTTTTTTTTAAAAAATCATAAAATAAAATAAGTAAGATCACCAGCACCTCGCCTCCTCCCAGTGGGAACAAGGCTAGCTTTCACTGTAAGAACTGAATCCTGCCAGTCACGTGAACAGCCCCTTGCACCATGGCCCAGCCCTCACCCAGCACTTGCCTATTCCTCAGAGAGGTTGCAGGGCCTTGGCCCTCACCCTCCTGGGTCTGTGTCCCCCCTCCAGACAGCAGCGACAGTGAGCTGGAGCTGTCCACCGTGCGCCACCAGCCGGAAGGGCTGGACCAGCTGCAGGCACAGACCAAGTTCACGAAGAAGGAGCTGCAGTCTCTCTACAGGGGCTTCAAGAATGTGAGTCCCCCTCCTCCCCGCCATGCCACTCCCAAGGCCCCTGGGCAGCCTGTCCCTGCCTGACTCCAGCAGGAGTGACCTTCTAGAAAATAGAACCTTCTAGAAACATCTTCACAGCACAGCAAGTATCCCAGCTGGCAGGATGTGACCCTGGTTGTCAGTCCGTTTTGTCAAGGCCCCCCCCCCTTCCCTTCTTTGCATCCTCCCTTCCCCAACCAGTCTGGTCCTGGTAAGAGGGTGTGGGGAGACCAGTGCCCGCTCCTGCTTCTCTTCCACCCCCACCCAGACCTCCCCAGTCAGGGCGTGGACTTGGGGGTGGCCGAGGTGCTGAGGGAGACCACCTCCTGCTGCAGGAGTGTCCCACGGGCCTGGTGGACGAAGACACCTTCAAGCTCATCTACTCACAGTTCTTCCCCCAGGGAGGTGAGTGTAAGCCCCGCCCTTGCCACCCCCACTCCTCCGGAGCCCCGCCCCTCCATCATAGGGCGGAGCCTGCATCCATCTTTTCAGCCGGCCCCACCTCCCTTGCCTGCCAGAGCCTGTAGTGGGTGGAGGCTGCCTGGACACACCCCAATGGGTCAGCCTGGGTTGGAGGGAAAGCCCAGCAGCCAGGTGGCCCCTCACAAACCCCAGCCCTCACCTGGCTTTCCACAGATGCTACCACCTATGCGCACTTCCTCTTCAATGCCTTTGACGCCGATGGCAACGGGGCCATCCGCTTTGAGGTAGGTGCCCAAGGACTCCTTGCTCCAGGCCCTGGCCCCTGTGACCTGCAGGTGATCTCCCTGTTCCCAGGGCTGCGGGATTCAAAAGTGATGGTCCTAGGCCAGGGCTAGTAGGGTGGTAGGTTTTGTGATTGAGTCACCTTGCTGGCAGCCAGCTCTTCCATCCCCGGAGTGTGCACCAGGTTCTGTCTGGCCATACTGGGTCAGAGGTGACCTGGCGTTGAACTTGCATTTTAAAAGGGGGCAGACTCTGTGGAATTTCAAGCCCCTAGGTTCAGAACAGGCCAGAAACATTCAGAAACCGCTCCCCCAGCCTTTGTGGACCCCTAGGAATTGGGGAGGAAAGGTCATTCCAGCTGGGTCCTGGTCAGGAAGCCTGGTGTTCCCCACTGTGGGGAAACAGAGGCTAGCATACACACACATACATACACAGCCTCTGCACGCAGGGTGCCTTGCCTGAGCTGTGTGCTGGCTGTGGTTGGCATCATGGGCTCCTCCCAGGCCTGGCCACACAGGATCACTTGCGAGAGGCCCCATCTGTGGAGCCCAGGTCCCTAAAAATAGCCACAGGCACAAAACTGAAACCTCTTCAGAGAGGAAAACCTCGCTGAGAGGCAGGCCTGATCGATAACCAGCCCAGGGCCAAGGGCGGCTGTGGCTGGCCTGCTCAGAAAGCCCTGGACACATGGGGGTAATAATAACTCATCGATGTGGTGGTTGGGGTTATTTTTACACAGTGAGCCGTTAGGCACGGAGATATGCCAGGGTGGGTCCACAGCAGAGCCTCCCCTAGACCACACTCAGGAGGGCTGCTCTGGAAGCCCTTCTGGCCTCTGTAGTTCCAGTAACACCTGTGATGCCATGCCCATGCCAGGCCACATGGGGAACACACAGTCAGCCCAAAGGTACGGGCAGGCAAAAAGGCAGGGTCCTTGCCTTGCACCCACCCCTGCTTAACCGCTCCGGCGACTTACCGGGGCACCAAGAGGAAGGAGTGCAATGGTCAAGGCTTTGTGGGACAGCTTTCCTCATCCACGATGAGATGGCTGTTTGGCTCAACAGGGCGCCCTGGGAGGGGCCGGGTTCCCATGCTATGGTCACCACTCTAACCCCCTCCACCCCGTGGGAGAGGTCTGTGCAGCCCTTTGCTACGCTTTGTGGGGACTGAGTCTGCTCGTGGCTGGGCTGGGGGTGATGTTGTGCTGCAACAGGACTCTGGGAAGGGACCCCCCCACCACCACTACCGCCCCTCAAAGACATGGCCATGCCCCTGGCTCTATGACAACCTGCTGTGGCAGGACCTAGCCCATCTTATGATGGCTGGAGCTGTCTCTGTCACTCCCTCCAGCCCCACCTTATAACTACCGCCACCTCCCAGTGCTGTTACAAATGGGGCCAGTCTTCAGCAGCACTGGGACATTTGGGACCCACCCCCTCCAAACCGCAGCAGGGTCTCTGGTTGTTGTCTCCTGGGCCTGCTGTGTGGCTGTCTGCCCAGGAGCCTGGTTTCACACCAGCATTCTCCCTTGGAGGATCTCCTTGACTGGGGGGAGCCCAATTGAATATTCAAAGGGGGTAGGGTTTAGCATGGAGCTTGAGCCCACCCATTGCCATGCCCTCTTTAAGAGTGGGCATTCCCATATGGTAATTTTATTATACTGATATGATAATGGCCTAACCCTCAGGAAGGACACATCGTGCAGCCATGTTGGGTATTTCCAGCTAGCACCAGTTACAGGTTGGCAGTCTGTGGAACTTTCCATTTCTGCTGCTCGGAGAGTGTTGAGGGCTTGCTGGTGCATGGGAAGTGGGCCTTCACAGTGCGTAGGACGGGGGCTTGGGTTGTGCACAGAAGTGGAAGGGATGTACACAGCACTGTCATGGACTGGCCACAGCTGTCCCATGGTGGGGCCACCGTGACTGTCAAAAAGCAGATGGCCAGGAGCGATCAGTCACCCACCTCTGCTGGTCCTGGTTGTCCACAGCAGTTTGACCAGAGCTGTCAACTGACCCGTGCTGTCCAGCAGATCAGTAAGGAGCTGTGTGGCTGCAGGTCAGCTGAAGCGTCCAACCTCAGCTCAGCCAGAACTGTCAGTCATCGACAAGTCGGACTCAGCGCCCCTCCCCTGCTGTGTCCCCACAGCAGTCCCACCCCAAGGCCTGGTTTCTGCTCCATTCCATATGACTGCTGAGATCTATCTGCCCTCAGGAGGGAGACAGGTGTCAGCCTCTGCCCCTCCTGATGGGGCGATACCACGTGCACACATGCGCACACACACACACTTTGATACTGCATGCGATTCCGGGCCTTTTCAATTCAGCAGTTCATCTTGCTGGACTGGTGCAAAGCTCTCAAAAGGAGCTTTTAGGCTGTGGGTCCTAAAGGATGGGTGCCAGGAGAGAGTTCAGCTGCCTTTGTCGGAAGTGACATTTGTCATGATGCTCTTTCAGAAAATGACAGCAGGACACATGTCTGGGGGATTGTGGTCACCTTGCCTAAGCACTGGGTGTGGTGGCCAAGTCCGGTCACCAGAGTAGCAGGACTCCAGGAATCATGCCCTTGGCTCCCAGCACATCTGAGCATCTGCCTAGGTCTCTACTGGACACCGTGCAAGTGCACGCTGGAGCATCTCAGTCTAAAACTGGTGTCTGCTGTTTCACTATAGCCACCCTGGGCACTGTCATGTAGGGGCAGCCACAGAGCAGGGGGCTGTGGCTGTGCTGGGCTTCCTACAGCTTGGAGCTGCATGCAGGGAGTTGGAGGCAGTGATGGGTGCAGAGAAAGCCTGGTGTGTGACACAGAGTTTGGAACAGCATTTGAACATGGACAGACTGAACTGAGGATCTTCTGTGTGTTACCTTTACAAATGAGCACTGCCCAGGGGCCTCCCACGTGACATTCCCATTCTCTCTCTCCACTTCCCTCACACACACACTAAAGGAAACCTAATGGAGACATGCATTGAGGCTCTGTAGCTGAACATGAGGGCTTCCACAATGATAGACAGACCAGCCACCTGCCAGGCCTCTGTCAGCCTGGATGCCAGCTGCAAAGACAGGCAGGTGGGGGGACACACTTGGACCCTACTGGGGAAGCCCCTCCCACTGCAGGGATGGGGAAGATCCAGATTTGGGGATGACATGTGAATCAGCTGTATCCAGACTTCAACGATTGTTCCTCCAACTCAGACATCTGGAAATATGACATTGTTCCTCCTTGATTTTAAAAAATATAGATTTTCCTTCCCTTATGCATGCATAGCTTCAGGGATCTAGCAGAGTTACAGGATGTGCTGGGGAAGCAGCAGGCCTCTTGTCAGCGCTTGGATCTGTGCCCCCCGGCACTTGCTCTCATGGCTCTTCTCGGCTGCCCTGGTTTAGCTGTGGCATACTGGCCCTCTGCTGTGGGTGAGGAGGACTCAGCCTCTCTCACGCACACCGGCTCCTTTCCCTGGCTTCCCACTAGACTGTGGCCACTCCTGTCTCACCATGGTTCCACTTAATGATTTTCCGCCTTTACAACTTTGTGATGGCGCAAAAGTGACACCCAGTGTTGCCAAATTTGACCTTAGCCCAGACTTGCAGCACGTGGCCAGATTCTCTCTTATGGTGTGGGCAGAGGCACGTGGCTAGGTGGATGAGGCAGATACCATGCATTTCCAGCATGTGATATTTTCAGGCTACAATGTGCTCATCCGGCCGCAGCCCCGTGGCAAATAGATGGGCATCTCTCTAGGAATCAGACTGGGCAAAGACTCACTTGACTCTGATAATGTCAGCTCTGTCCCTGGAGCTTTGCAGTCAACAGATAGGTTTTCCTCTGCTGCACACATTTTAACTTTGCCTATGATTAGCCATGGCCCTCATCTTCCCTTTGCTTGGTTTTCTGTGACCTCATTTATTCAAGACCAGCCCCCGCCAGAACCATCAGTGGTCTACACTTCCCATCCAACATCTTCCAGAGGATGCCTCCCCTGCCTCACTCTCCCGGGGTTCTCTTCCCCTCTCTTCTGGGTTATCTTCCAACTCCAGAATCATTCATCTTCCTCTCTCCTTCTCTCTTTTCAGGGCCACAACCTTCAGCAGTTTCCTTGAGAAGAGTGTGTGCCACGAAACTTTTGAGCCTTGTGTCTGGAAGTGTCTTTTTCTGTTCCCACTCCTGCTTGGCCTGGGGCATGGATGAGAACACCCATGGGGGTTGGTTTCATTCAGGAACTCATGGTGCTGTTCCATTGGCCTGCTACTTCCAGTGCCGGGGAGGATGGTCTGCTGTCGGGGTCCTGTGTATAGCAACAGTGCTTGGTTCTGTTTTTCTTGCTCTGCTTTGCCTTTCTCTCTGGACACTTGCAGGGTCTGAAGTTTCACCATGACTCTGCCTACAGGCTAGGCGGGCACTGTTGTCTTGCACTGTGCCAGGCTCTACAGTGACCTCAGATGTCACAGGCCTCCATCCTGAGCAGTCTTCTCTCAGGATCACTTTGACATATGCTCCTCCCTTTTGTCCACTTCTCCCTGGAACTCCTGATGTCCAGCGACAGCCCCTTTGTGCCGGACTTCTCATTCTCCTCTTTTGGCACCTGTGTTCCGGCTCTTTGCTGCCTTCTCCTTTCACTTTCTGAAAGATCCCACTTGTACTTTCACCTGGAAGAAGACACTGGAAGGAAGGAAGGAAGGAAGGAAGGAAGGAAGGAAGGAAGGAAGGAAGGAAGGAAGGCTTATTTCAGTTTCAAGTTTTGGAGGTACATAGTCCCAAGATTGGGGGCCCAAGTGATTCTGGTATCCGGTGAGGTTGGCAGATCACATGGCAAGCCAAGAAGGAGAGAGAACAGAAAACACACTTATACAAACTACCTTGAGGACAACGGCTCAGTGATCTCAAGAACCCCCATGGATCCATAACTGGATCAAGTCTCCATCCTTGATCCATCAGTTGTTTTTAAGATTTATTTACTTATTTGAAGGTCAGAGCTACCAAGCAATTTTTCATCTGCTTCCATTCACTCTCCAATGGTCATAATGACCAGCATTGAGCCACGGAAAGCCAGGAGCAGGAGGTTCTTCCGGGTCTTCCACATGGCTGTCAGGAGTCCAAACACTTGGGCCATCTTCTGCTGCCTTCTCAGATGCACTAGCAGGGAGCTTGATAGGAAGTGGAGCAGTCAGGACATGAACCTGCACCTATATGGAATGCCAATGTCACAGAGGCTTTCCCCAGTAAGCCATAACACCAGCCCTAGTGTTCTTATTTCTAAGGCCCAAGTGCACTTTCATATTTTTTCCCCCAGTAGTCTCCTTTTAGAGATGCAAGATTCCTAATCACTGGATCTGATAGTTAACTTTTTTGTGCTGGAGTAACGTTTCTTCCCAACTCCTGATTCCTTAGTCTTCTCATGGTACAGAGTTCTTCAGATAAACCTAACAGAGCCATGTGTCCCTGAAGGACAGGGATGTGTTCTGGGGACCACCGTGTCCTTAGGCAGCTTCGTCGTGGGGGGTACCTCGCAGAGTGAACCTGCAGAAGCCTGGAACATGCAGGTCAGACACTTGATGTGGTCCCTGCATGAGATCAGGAGATGCTGCAAACACCAGAGGGATGAGGCTGCCACTCGTGTCACCCAGCACACTGTTCCCAGGTTGACATTTATGTATAAGTAGGGGTAACACTCCAAACCCATGAGAGACAGTAATAGTGCAGCAAATCCATAAACCAGAACCCTTTTATGATATCATTATGTTCCATACAATGTTGTACATGCCTCATATTAAAAAAAAAAAAAATACCAGCGACCTTCCATTCGCTGGTTCACTTTCCAAATGCCCACAACAGTCAGGATTGGGCCAAGTCAAAGTCAGGAGCCTGGGATTCAATCTGAGTCCCTCACCTGAGTGGCAGGGACCCAAGCACTTGAGCCGCCCCTGCTGTCTCTCAGGGCGTGCACTTGAAGGAGCTGAGACTAGGGAGCAGAGCCAGGCCTTGAACCCAGGCACTCTAATATGATATATGGGTATTCCCATGGGCATGTTAACCACTTATATACTGTGCTTTTATACAACTGGTAGCACAGTGGGGCCCCCTCACACCAGCATCGCCGTGACAGCAGCTGCCAGGGTCACTAGGCAACGGGAATTGTACAGCTTCTTGATCACCGTCTGGGGCCACTGCTGTATGTGCCGTCTTTGATTGACAGGTTGCTGGGCAGCATGTGCCTGTGTGTGAGTGGAGCCTAACTCCTGGGACGTGGCCCTGACCCCCTGCCTTCACTCATCGCATTCTCCACCCACATTCAGAGTTGCCCAGGAGGAACTCACGGAGCTGGGAGGGCTTAAGCTTCAGACCTTCCAGGAGGTGGGGGGAGAAAGACTTACTTGCCACCTGCTATTGTAACAGAGAAGCCACAGCGACAGTCAAGCCTGTCACATTAGTAATATACATGTATCTGTCACTTTCAGAGGTGACACCTCTGGGGTGTCGGAGTTCAAAAGCTGAGCACCGTTGGTTCAGAACTTAAAATTTTTTTATAAGGGATTTATTTAACCTGACCTGATCTGAAGCTGGGAGCCAAGGGTTGCTTCTGAGTCTCCCACATGGATGCAGGGGCTCAAAGACTTGGACTATATTCTCTGCTGCGTTCCCAAGTCACCAACAGGGAACTGGGTTGAAGTGGAGCAACTAGGACTCAAACCGGCAGCCATACGGGATACCAGCACTGCAGTAGAGGATTAGCCTGATACACCACCTCTCCAGCTAGTTCAGAACTTTTTAAAGGGCCAGCAACGTGGAGCCGTGGATTAAGCCAGTATTTGTGATACCACCATTTCATGGTAGAATGTCTGTCCAAGTTGCTGGTGCTCCATTTTCCATCTAGCTCCCTATTGGTGCACCGGGGAAGCCAATGGAAGATGATCCAGGTCTGCCACAAATGTGAGAGACCCGACTGGAGTTCCTGGTTTCTGGCTTCTGGCTTCAGCCTGGTCCGGCCTTGGGCTTTAACAGCCATTTGGGAAGTGAACCAGCAAATGGAAGATGTCTCCCTGTCATTCTGCCTTTCAAATGACTAAATGAAAATTTTAGGGCCTGGTGCTGTAGCCTAGTGGCTAAAGCCCTCATCTTGTATGTGTTGGGATCCCAAATGGGCAGCAATTCTGATCCCAGTGGCCCACTTCCCATCCAGCTCCCTGCTTGTGGTCTGGGAAAGCAGTTTAGGATGTCCCAAAGCCTTGGGACCCTGCACCCGTGTGGAAGACCCAGAAGAGCTCCTGGCTTCGGATCAGCTCAGCTCTTACCGTTGCAGCCACTTGGGGAGTGAATCAATGGACAGAAGATCTTCTTCTCTGTCTCTCCTCCTCTCTGTACATCTGACTTTGCAATAAAAATAAATAAATCTTTTTTAAAAAAACACTTTTAGTGTGAAGTTGTTCAAGCGCCTTTGGCATGAGAATAGCTGGTAACTCAATGTGGAGCGTCTGTGTCTTCTGTCAGCAGCCGACACGGCACAGGTGCCTGGGACACCACATGTTTGACGGCCGTTCTTTGAGCTCAGTGTCAGTTACGAGGCCTTGGGGTCCTGAGTGGAGGGGTGGTTTTCAGCAGAAGCCACCCAGGAAGCTGCAGGTGGCAGCTTGGCAGGGCACTGTCCCTCTTCGCCACCAGCCCCTTGTTCCACCCCCTGCTGTGTCCTCTGTAGGATTTTGTGGTCGGGCTCTCCATCCTGCTGCGAGGGACAGTCCACGAGAAGCTCAAGTGGGCCTTCAACCTCTACGACATCAACAAGGACGGCTACATCACCAAGGAGGTAACTGGCACCTGGCAGGGCACCTGCACCTTCCCTCTCCTGCTGTCACAGCCAGGCCCCAGCGTGTCCTCAGGTGGCCTCACCACTCCTGGCTCCCCAGCTCTTACCAAAGGGGCCAGGGGCCCTGCCCTGATCCCTGCTTGAGGGACAGGGGGTGGTGGTGTGATTCCTGAGGGCAAGGATGGAACAGCAGCTGAGGAGCGGCTGAAACTCCTGCTGGATGGGCCAGAGAGCGGACAAACTGATCTCTGTCCAGCCTGCGGGCCCCATTCCCACACTCACTACTGCCAGGAAGAGGAAGAGGCCACCTGGGTGGAGTGGGGTGGGACTCACACAGCGCTCCCCGTTCCCAGGAGATGCTGGCCATCATGAAGTCCATCTACGACATGATGGGCCGCCATACCTACCCCATCCTGCGGGAGGACGCCCCTCGGGAGCACGTGGAGCGGTTCTTCCAGGTGAGCCAGTCCCCGCCCCCAGGCTTCCGCAGGGAGCATGCAGAGGAGAGGGCCTGGGGCAGCCCCAGGCAAGCCACTTCCCCTCTGCATCTTGCTGCATGAAGAGGGACGCCAGTTAGACTTCCGTGTAGGAGTGCCCAGGCTTCAGTCCCAGCCCTCCTTGCAGGTCCAGCTTCCTGTGAATGCGGACCTGGGAGGCAGCGGTGATGGCTGAGCGCTTGATGGTTTGGCAGTGGTCCCTGCCAGCCTTGTAGGAGCTTCTGGCTTCAGCTAGGCACAGCCCTGGCTGTTGCGGGCATTTGGGAGTGAACCATGGTACAGGTCTGTGTGTGTGCACTCCTTTCAAATAAATGAAAAACAGACATACACACACCCTGCTGGACTGTACCTCCCTGCTCCAAGTCAGTGCCTTCCAGAAGCTTCTCCAGCTCCCTCTATGTGGTTCTTTGCTTTGTGCTCCCGAGGGCTGAAGGCTCCCGCTTGCCGGGGGCCCTCAAGATCCGTGGCCATCTCTGCCTCGGTGGCTCTGTCTGCCCAAGCCACGTGTCAGGGAAGAGAGGGATCCATGTTCATGAGGACGGGTCAAGGGAGGTAGATCATCTCGGAGGTGGAAAGCAGGACAAGAAGGGACAGTGATGGAGAAGGGGCTGAGGAGGCCCAGCCTGCATCCAAGATGGGGGGTAGGAGAACAAATGGGCAACAGGCGCCTTGCCCTCCTGCTGCTGTCTGGGATGTCCCCGGCAGGCATAGTCTCACCTTGGACATGGCTTGGGTTGCAGAAAATGGACCGGAATCAGGATGGGGTGGTGACCATGGATGAGTTCCTGGAGACCTGTCAGAAGGTAGGTGGCAGCCAGCGGCTCTGGGAACAGGTGGGTGACTGGGACGGACACGAGGGGCCGGCAGGAGGTGATGGGAAAGGGCCACATGGGAAAAAGGTACCCAGAAGAGCCTCCCCATCGCCCCAGCACTGCCTTCTCAGCTCCCTGATCTGGGGTCTTTCTCCCCACCCTGTGTCTGAGCAGCCCTCCCCTCTCTCTGTGCACACAGGATGAGAACATCATGAACTCCATGCAGCTGTTTGAGAATGTCATCTAGGCCAGCAGGAGGAGAGCCTGGTGGCACGGCCCCCACACCCCCCAGGAAAACTTCAGTCCTGCCTGGAGCAGCCGCCAAAAGAAACTTTTTCTAGTACATTTGCAAAATGTGAGCAGTTTGCTCCCAACACACATACTCACACGCACACACACATATGTTGTGGGCCAGCAAACAGGCCTGAGGTTGATGGGAGAGGGAACCAAGTCTAGGTGACAAGAGCCACATAGGCCCAGCCAGCTGTTCCCAGGCTGGCAGGACCAGGGTGCGGTGGGCTGCACAGAGCCTGTAAGCCACTAGCCACTGGATGCTACCAGGAAGTGGCTCAAGAACCCTCCACTCCTTCTTGGGGAAGGGCCCCTCCTGCAAGACACACCTTCCTCCCTGCTCCTCCTTTCCCTCTCCACCCAGGGCCAACCCTCTGGCTGCACTGGCCTTGTCCCCAGCCTGCACTCCCAGGGGAACACTGAGTGTAGCACCATGGGGGGTTGGAGGAGGGGGACAGCTTGGGCTGGAGGGGAGGACTGACCAGGAAGGAAGTGGAAATGGAACAGAGTCCTTCACTTCCCCAGGACCCTGACCCCCATGGTCCCTACCGCCCCACCTGTGAGCTTGGGAACTGAGGGGTTCCTGGGCAGTGTTTTCACTCCGTCCCAGACTCACCTTCAGTGAAGGTCTCATTGTTGGATTGGAGGGGGCACTCTTAGCCAACTCCAGGGAGCAGAAGTTTCCTCCTGTCCCAATCCTAGCTGGCTGGGTGGGCCTACAGTGACTGGGGCTGCCCTCACCCCACCCAGTACCACACTATTGGCCCTAAGAAGGCAACGTGGCTCAGGGACTGGCAGCCTGGGGCAGGGTCTTGCTCCCTTTTCTTCCTCTTGCCCTGTTACTCTGCCCAGCAGCGCAACCCCAGATGAAAAGCACAAACGCCACATCAGCTCAGGCCGTAGCCCACGAGGAGAGCCGGGGACACTGCTTGGCAGAGGCCAGACCCTCCTGTTGGGCCCAGGGCCTGGAGTCCAGGGAAGAAGCTAGGGGCTCCCCAGAGCCTCAGAGCCACAGTCAGGGGCTACAGCAGCTCCAGCCCAGCCCATTCACCAACATTCAAAAGCACAAACCTGGGGAGCTGTGCTGGGCAGGGCTCCACCCTAGGAATGGAGGCTTCCCCCACCCATGGCCTGAAGCCAGAGCCAGCAGAGAGAGTGGGTTACAGGGCCCATGGCTGGGTGGCAAGCCAAGAGAAGCCGGGAGATAGCTGTGGGCTGGCACCTGCTCCTGGCAGCAGGGGAGAGGGAGATATTCCCACATGTACATTCCATCTGTGGCTGCTCGGCCTCTGCTCAGGCCTGGTCCCAGGGTGAGTGGGGCCCTGCGAGAAAGGTGGGATGGCAGAGGCCTTGTGGTTCCTGGCACTCTTGGGCAGGTGGGCCGAACCCAGGATGAATGGCACTGGCAGACATCTTGAGTCCCAACCCCCTCCCTCACTCTCTACCCCAACCCTGTCGTTGGCCTGACCTTCCCATCTGGTGTTGCTGTGCTTTTGAGGGGCCCAGGCCACAGGAGAGGCCCTGCCCCATCCCCTCAGCCCGCTGGGAGGGCGCAGACTGGCCGCATGTCTGCATGGCAGAAGCATCTCCCTCGGGCACAGCCTGTAAGGGTGGTTCCTGTTCTCAGCCCCCATATATTTTAATAAAATAAACCTGGCAAAGGAGAGGGTCTCGTGTTGACTTTTACCTGACCTTGAACTTGGGTCCATCCGTGCTGCGGTTAGCCCTTCTGCCCAGGGCTGCAAGGGCAGATGTGTTGGCAGCCAGCTCTGGGAGACGGAGTTCCCCAGAGAGTATCCAGCTCCCAGTGTGACGTCAGGGAGCAGAGGCAGGAGAGATAAGCCCAGTGGCCCATGGGGACCTCCAGCCAGAGGCTCCAGCCACCTGAACCTCCAGAGGTGCCAGCTATGATTCTTCCCCCATGGCATCATCATGCCCACTCCCAGGAAGCCATGCTGAACTTTGATTTGTTTGTTTGTTTGTTTGGTTGGTTGGTTGGTTTTGTTTTAAGATTTGTGTATTTAAAAGGCAGAATTACCAAGAGAGGGAGAATGTTCCATCGTCCATCTGCTGCTTCACTCCCCAAGCGGCTGCTCTGACCAGTCCAGGTCCAGCCCAAAGCCAAGAGCCAGGAGCTCAAGGCACATCTCCCTCAGGGGCAGCTGGGGCCCAGCCTCTGGGACCCTCATCCACTGCCAAGACAGGAACCAGTGCTCACAGGTCAGTGGCTTAACCCGCTGCAGCCACAACACCGGGCCCCATTCTGGGGTCTGCTCTTGCTACGAGGGGTGTAGGTCATGGTCAGAAGGAAGCAGAAATAGGATGAAAATCTTTCTTGTGTTGGTTTTTGGGAGTTTGAACTCTGAGTTAAGTTGGGGGTAGGCACACCGGGTGTGAGGCTGTCTGTGATAGTAAAGAGAGGATTCTGGGAGAGGTGTGCTTTGACCATGCTGTAGGGCCAGCCCCCTACCACACCCCCATGCCCAACTGCATGACATCACCCCCCACAGGAACCCAGATTCAAGTTCAAAATAAAATTGGAGTAAGTAGCAATGGCTGCGTTTAAATCAGTGAGGACTGCATTATTTTGAAGGAGGAAAATGGTATTGATTAGTCTTTCTTCAGGTATGTGTTTTTTGCATTTTCATTTCATTCAAAAGGCAGAGAGATCGATCTTGAGCTACTGGTTGACTTCTCTAATGGCCTCAACAGCCAGGGCTGGGCCAGGCCAGAGTCAGGGTCGCTGACCCTTAAGCCCGGGGGTCTCCTGTGTGGGTAGCAGAGACTCAGCCACTTCAACTGTCACCTGTTGTCTCCCAGCGTGCCTGGTAACAAGAAGCTGGATTATAAGCAAAGGAGCCGACACAAGAACGAGGCTCTCCAACAAGGGACTCTAAGCTGTGTCACTTGTAGCACCAACTGCTCACCCCATACCAGGCAAAATGTTAAGGAAATGCAACATGTCTCATAAAAGAAAATTAGCACCAGCACTGTGGTTCAGCTGGTTAAGCTGCCACTAATAGTACCCGCATCCCATACAGGAGAACTGTTTTCAGCCTTGCTGATCCAGCTCCCTACCGATGCACTTGGAAAGTGAACCAAATGCTTGAGTCCCTGGCACCCAGGTGGGAAACCTGGAACGAAGTTCATGGTTTCCTGACTTTGTCCTGACCCAGCCTGACTACTGTAGCCATTTGGGAAGTGAACCAGCAGAAAGAGCTCTCTGTGTTGCTCTGCCTTCCAAACAAATGAAATCAACAATTAGTAAAGTGATGGCGTTTGCTCTCTGGGCCCTGGACCAGGCAGTGTTGTGTGTCAGTAGTACCGTATGTGTCTTGGTGAACGGAATGTGGCAGGAGCGATAGGCGGGACTTCTAGGTCAAGATCATCGAAGGGTTCAAGACAAACTCAGGAGAGGGGCCACACATGCATGTCACTGCTGTCCTGGCTCACGGTCAGCAACAGCAGTGTCCACGCATGTGAATGTGAGTGGGTGAGTGGGGAGCAGTGCCCTGACGCGCACTGCACCGTCACAGCTGCCCAGCCCCGCCCTGCCTGCAGACCAATCTGCAGGTCTGCAGCCACTACAGCCTTGGAGGGTTTTTTACAGGAGTCATTATTAGAACAATATGTTAGAGGATGGTCTCCTGAGATACAGAAAAGCATTAGCAACATCCAACATCCACTTGGAATGAAGAAAATCGGGACCAGAAGAGAAACGTCTTGGGGCTGATGATGCATCCCCGTGACACACGGCTGTGTCAGGCTCTGTCCCTTCACGGTCAGACTCCGATCGCCCATCGCAAGGCTGCAGGTGGCCTTAAGTGAAAACTGTGACAGGAGGGAGCTGGCAGCTTTCGCAGACCCCAACGTCTGTGCTCTCTCTGTGGTAAGTGGAGTGGTGAGTTTAAGAGAGACAGAAGCGATGTGGACATGAATGACATTCCAGTGCTATCTTGTAGTTCATCCAGTTTTTTAAGTCTTAGCAATTATGATTATATATATATATATACTTATTTGAAAGAGAAGGAAAGAGTCGCATGTGCTGATTCATTCCTCAGGTGCACACCACAGCCGGGCTAAGCCAGACTAAGGCTGGGAGCAGGAACTAGATGAGGTCTGCGGTGTGGGAGGCAGAAACTCAGTGACCTCAGCCATCATCGCTGCCTCCCAGGCCTGCTTCAGCAGGAAGCTGGCATCGGGAGTTTGACGCTTCTCTCTTTTTCTTGCTTGCTTGCTTTCTTTCTTGCCTGCTTGCTTGCTTTCTTTCCTTCCTTCCTTTTTTCCTTCCTTCCTTCCTTTCTCTTTCAGATTTATTTATTTTTATTTGAAAGAGTTACAGAGGGAAAGGCAATCTGATCATCCATCCCCTGATTCACTCCCCAAATAGCTGTAATGGCCAGAGCTGGGCTAGTTCCAAGCCAGGAGCCCTGAGCTTCTTCCAGGTCTCCCACATGGGTGGCCATCCTCCACTACTTTCCCAGGTCCTGGAATGGAATTGGAGCAATCAGGATTCAAACCAGTGCCCATACAGGATGCCAGCACTTCAGGCAGAGGCTTAATCTATTACACCAAGGTGCCAGCCCTCCCCCACCAACACAAGTGTCTTAAACCAGAAGTCTCAACAGCAAGGCTAAATCCCACCCCTCTTAATAATCTTCCTATTGGGCATGGGGGTGAGCATTTAGTGTTATGAAGATGCCCACATCTCCTATCACAGGGCCTCTGGTCAGTGCTCAGTGCCCACTCCCCGCGAGGCAGCAGTGATGGCTGTGATCGGTGGATGCCCACTGCCTTCTCAGGAGACCTGGAAGGAGTTCCCAGCTCCCAGCTTGAACCCCAGCCGCTGCAGGCATCTAAGGAGTGGATGTGCATTCTCTGCTGCTCAAATCAAATAAAAAATCATAAACTAAAACATGGTTATGAGAGCATAACAGGAGGGAGGACTCACTTCTGCCTGTGGGACTTGATGGTGAGTGTGGCCAGGCACTGTCTGCTTCCAGCTGAGAAGTCACTTGAACAGATGTTCCTGGGCAGGGAAGTGGCAGGTGCCCTACAAGGGGCCCCGCTGAACACCA